CACACACACACACACACACACACACACACACACACACACACACACACTTACACGTTCAGTTGATGCGTGTGCTGTGAGAGCAGTTCACTGACTGCTTAAAAGACTTGATAAATACAAAAGATAATCAATAACATTCTTATATTTTTTTATATTTGATAATCAATCAAATGCAATGATCTACTCTGGATTGAATGATAAACAAAAAGCCACAGTGTCACTGTGCTGGGCTTATAGTTCTACACTTAAGGTACAGCTCTGCCACAGAAGACTCCTAACATTAGTTACAGCAGTCAGGTTGAAGAGAACAGCGTGTTTCATAACAGTTGATACCACTTCAACAGCAGCAGCTGACACTACTACAGTGTGTGTGTGTGTGTGTGTGTGTGTGTGTGTGTCTGACCGCATTTCCTTCAGCCCCTTGGTCTGGATGACGTGGAGGATTTGTTTGGGAGTCATGGGTGCATCTGAGAAGTTCTCCAAAACCTGAAAAAACATCCACATTTATTTTTTACCGCAGACTGACGAATACTTCTGCACTGCCAAGAAAAAAAACATGAACACATGACAAATGAAGATCCATCTAGAGCAACTCAATTTCTCCTAGTGATTTAACCTGCTGGTGTAGGAGACTAACATCTTGGCTAGTCTTTGCAGCAGTTTGCTCATACTGACATTACCAGAAGCAGGTGCAAGTCAGAGAGAAAGAGCGCGAAACGCACAAAGATTCACAATTCTGATTAGAGCCCAGCTGATACGGAGTGTTTGTTGAGTTTGATACAAATATTGACATTTGAAAGTAAGAAAATGTATACACACACACACTTTTAAAAGCATTTAAGTAGTAAATGAACTTGACTGAAAATGATATCAGCACATGAACATTAAGGGAATTTGTAATAGTTAGAATAACATGTCATCCAGGATTCATCTTTTTGTATTTATCCTTCATTTACCTCAACTCTTTTGTTTCAGTCCATTTCATGAGAGTAAAAAGGAAAATCTTTTCCAGCATTCATGTCAACAGATTGAATGCCAATTCAAAAGGTTTTGTTACAGACTGGAAGCCACGTAAGCAAACCATGATAGTGATGAGCTAAAATTGCCTGATAATATCTGCCCAGCCGTTACAGGCACAGCAACAGCTATTTATTTATATCCATGTCAGGTCATGTCATGTTTAGAGGGACGGTGTGTAGGATTTAGTGACATCTAGCTGGCAGGTTGAAGACTACAACCAACTGAACACCCTATGCTCACACCTACTTTTCCAAACAGGTCTGAGAACTGAAGTGGCCTTCAGGTAATGCCACAACGTGAACCGCTCTCTGGAGATCACTGATTGGTTCTTCTGTTCTGTAGAAACATGGTGGACTCTGAAGAGGACCTGCTTCCTATGTCAATATGAAGGGCTCATTCTAAGCTAATGAAAACACAATGGTTCTTAGTTTCAAGTGATTGTACACGAGTGAAAATATAGTTCTGAATATTATATTCCATTTCTGCTAATAGATCACACAACACACAAATGTATAACAAAGCAAATTTAAGAAGCAGCGACGCACATTGTTGTATTTAACTTATCCGTTAGGGTTTTTTGGTATTTATTTTACTACACAATTGTTGCACTTTTTGCAGTTGTTTTTTTCTCCATCACTGTGTTTCAGAGTTTCTTTAAACTCTTTTAAAAGAGTTTTTGGAACATGATGGATCTTTTTTGAATGTACCACAATAAATTCAATAGTCAAATTTAATTAATTTATATGTATATGTAACAACAATAACAGGGAGAATATCTGATCCTATATTTGCCTTCGAGGGTCGAAATTGAAAGCATAGTTTGATCTATTTTTTAATGAAATCGTGACACCCTTACTTACTCATGGTTGATAACGCACTGCTCTTGATTTGTTCCGAGTTATTTAAAAAACATTAGGAGAGTTGCCGTAGCACTGCTACACCTGTTTATATGTGAAGCCTACTTAACCGTACTTTAGAATGCAATAAAATGTAATGTCAATTTGCAATGCAGATTTTAAGCAAAAAGAGGTATTGCTATCAAAATCTGCAGATATGCAAATTAAGATATTGGAACAGAAAAAAAGTAGATTGATACATTGCCAGTTCAAATATGAACAAGCTAATATCCTACAATGCACATTCATACCTCATGAAATAGGCCTCGATGCTCTCACCATCTACCTCAACAAACATCCAGATAGGATATTGCCTCATAACTGATTCCTACCAATCCTATGCTTGTCTTGGGTTCTAAAGGAAGATAAATGCATTCTAAACCCACTCCCAAACACATTGTTTTCCAAGGCTGCTTTGTGGTAAGGATTAGTTGTTTACATTGTAGCATTATCAGAGATAGGCGACTAGAAAACCAAAAATAATGTCCTGATCGCATATTTTACTGAATATTGGGGGTCAGTAAATAATGTTATTTCACACTGTGATGGTTAACATTAAACTGTATCATTAATCTGCGTGAGGGGGGATCCGTACGGATCACAGATCGACAATGGTCCGTTACACCACTATTTTCTAGTCTTCTGACCACTTTAACACTACATTCACAAGTTGATATTGATGACATTGTGGTCATATGGAGAGGTAATAGCGGTAATAGAGGCTGATTTTCTGAAATATACAAATTCTACAACTACTATCTTTGTTTCACTATGGGACAGCAGGAAACTGAAATACTCTTTCTAGACTAAGCTTCTACAAGGGAAACAACAGTATCATTGAGGCTAAAATCTATCTCAAACCCTTGAGCAGAAACTCCCTTCCAAAAGCCGAGAATAAGCCCCTATATAATTACTCCTATAGCAGAATGCTAATAGATGCAGGCAAACCATTGTCCAGCACTGACACGGCATTGTAGAGATGGGTCTGGCTATGCAACTATGTACAGGATAACCAGGGCTCCACAGCTTCATATTGGATTCAACACAGTTGAGCCATTTGGTCGAAAGTGAATTTGTCATGTTTCCTCTAATTTATTACACTTGATGGATGCAGTACATGTAGTTTTTGTACTTCAATCTCTGTAATTTTAAGATACGTCTGTGTTCTTTTGTTTCTGATGTGACCATAGTGCACAGGGAGGTATTTGGCTGTGACAACACCCACCTGCATCATATTGAGAGGTGAACTAATGTTCCGCCCACCCCATTTTGCTAAAATGAGGGGCAAAGAATACCAAAATCTAATTTCAATATAACCACAGGCTCAGTAAGAAAGACGTAGTAAAAGTTTAAGCAAAAATTGGTCACTATACGCTTCATAACAGCAGAATATGTGGCTGAGCTTTTGTACTGAATTGCACATAAGATTGTATTGGTGTACCTAATGAAGTAGCCTGGAGTGTATATGGTGAGCAGCAGCTGTGAGACCACTACAGGGAATATGACCATGGACCATGAAACCGAATCCTTCCCATGTACTTCAACTGCAGTGATAAAATAGGGATGTGCTTTAAAAATACCAACTACTCCTTTAATTGACTTTCTAAACAAGAGGAGTGAATAGAACTCATTCCGTGGTATACAGCACCTTCATGGTTTGAAATGTATGTCACTGTACACAGCTAAGTGACAGTGGATGTGGTTCTCTTCTATACCAGCTGTAGTAGTAGAAAGCCAGGGCCTATCCGGCCAAAACAGACCCAAGTAGCTAGTGAACCCATCGCCCTCACACAGGGGATCAACATAAACACACTTGACCAATATTTTACACAATTTTACACAGATTTTGCCCAGATTGTCCGTGCGCTTTCAAATAATTTAGTATATATTTAGCGATACATTTTGAAAATAATCCCACCAGCTTGCTAGTGGTTAGCGTTTGTCTTCAACTGTTTCATGTGACAGCACTGCTTTCATAAATATCCAATTGCTTTCTTGCTGATTTTCCTTAGGAGCCCGGTTGATTTACTCTTTTATTTCCCTGCAGCATTCCGTGTCAATCTGTATTCACAATACAGCGGATTTAGCTACTAGTGTTTAACGTTAGCTGTTAGCTTTGCTAACGGTAGCGTGCATTATGGTCAGCATAATCATCAAACGCTAATAGCGACTTTTGCACAAAGTTAGCTGTTCCAGTAATGCTACGAGTTTAACAAGGTCACGTTGTATTGACTGGTTTGTTTACATTAAGTGCCTAAACTTATCGCGTATCTTCAGATGCTCAAGTTGCTCAAATCGTAATTAGCGTAAGGCTAGCTAGCCTGCTGCCTAGCAAACAAAGAGCTCAACACATAGAGGTGGATGTTAGCATGCTTGCCAGCGTTAGCATTTTTGCGTTACGTAGCTCTTTATGTCAGCAGCCAGAAAGACATACAGCACATGTAAAATGTACCCCCAGTTACATTTAATCCAAACATAACCTGCCTGCTGGCTGGGCTAGCACTGCTAATAGCTAGCCTAGCTGATTTTACAGCAGAGTACAAGCAGTGGTCGTGAGAAGAATGAACACAACAACACACCTGGATCCATCACTTCACATCAATCCATTCATAATTTACATGCAGCTAGTTAAATGATCAAAGTAGACCGTTTACCATGCGAGCTGCCTCAGCCCAGGTCCGCTCCTTCTTTCTCTTTTGTTTGTCCTTCATTTCCTCTGCGCTGATGTCTGCGGCTATCCTGCTGTGTGTCTACAAAGCAACCTCAATGCGATGGCGGTTTAGCTGCTTAGCAAAATGGCTAACTACGTTCTAGGTTAACTGTGTAGACCCAGAACAAGGCGTTCCTTTTACCTCAGGACGATGCTATGGTGTCTGCTGGTCTCTGATAATTATCGCTAGAGTGTCCAGTGCCTCGTCTAAACTAGCTCAACACACATCGCCTCTCTGTAGCACAGAAGCAGTGTGAGTGCAGGGCTGGTGCTACTGCAGGACAAGCCTCTTTGGAATGCAACAACCAGGTCAAAGGTCAAACACTCCGCAGGAATGCAACAAAACAACGGCCAACCATGCAAATAGTACTGTACATTTGAACAGATGCTCCTTGCACATAATCATTTTATATTGTTTCAGATTGAGCCCTCCATCACCCACCACACATATATATTAACCACATACTAAAAATAGAGTCCATCTGTTAGAACACCAAAATGTTGTGTGATTCGTAATAATGTGAAAACGAATACAGAGGTTAAACTGACTGACCCCTGGATCTACTTTCTCCTTGTGTGAAGCTGTTTACTAGTGGATGATATGAGACAACAGCAAAATTTGATATGTGGAAAATAAACACACCTAGCAGCCACGACACATTGAATACAATGTCATATAGCCATTAAAAGTCATTAATAATGTAGCAAACATTCAGGCCTCTTTTAGTCAAGTAGAACAAATATTTCCAACAAGGCTGTTGCTTGGGGATTGAATTGACCCTATAAGAATGTGAAACATTAACACAATAATAGGCTATCAATGTATTTTTGACTTAATAACTTAGTATCAATAATGTTAATAAATTGCTTTATTGCTTTCACACAATATTTAATCCAAACTAGGGCTTGGTGATATGTTGAGATTAATGTGATGACCGAGAGATGACTGGTTACAAAATGAAATCTTAGACCCTTGGTACTGAGCAAACTCTATCTGTTGATGAAGGTTCTGAGATGTGTTTGAATGCTAGCTATTTCCATCAGGAATGAACTTTCATACTCAATAAGAAATACATTTCATGTTGTATCTGAGGTCAACTGATCCTTTAACAAAGGGAATCCATCAACACACAGGATGGAGCCAATTCACATAGTTTGTTAGATAAACAAAGAATCATTCTGCAATTTGACGCCATCACCTTGGGCTTTGAGAAATTGAGATGGGTATTTTTTTAAAAATATGAACCCTGCCTTTGCCCAATATCAGCTGGGATCGGCTCGCATGTGCATACCTATTTATCTACATAGATTTTTTTTCAATATTATTTTTATTCAAATATATTTTTGCAGAACTGTGACAGTGTGGTAAAATATATATAATATCTACAACCTATCCAGACCTTGATGCGCCCGCTAGCAGGATACGTCCCGGTACATGAGGAACAGTGACCCCTGTTATATTATTGGCTGTGCCCAATAAATCTCCAACACCCAACATGACCAAACATGTAAGGCGTTCTGTCAGATGCATGGGTGGATTCCAGCCTCAATTTTGAATTTTACAGTAGCAAAGTAATCAAATCTTGCCTCAATTACTGGAGAAATATGGCCACAATCCTTTCAGTTTTGTGTTTTAAGAATTACATTTTTTACTGTATTATTTTATGTTTGATTTTTGTGAATCACTTTGTACTTTTTGATTTTGAGAAATGCTGCATATAGTAAATAAAGTAAATTATTTTTGGAATATAATTTTTATATATATCATGGTCTTTCTGTGTGTGTGTGTATTACACCTCACAAATATTTGCGAAAGTCCTTTTAATGTTTGGAAATCAATCCGTTTTAAATGTTCATTGTTCAGTTAAATTTTTATCTAATCTGAAGTGGCCTACTGTTTGAAGAGTTAACATTGGAAATTACTTTTGTGCAACACCTTTCAAAGATAGACCAACTATTTGTTGTTTCACTAGCTAATAATATTATGGAGGGACATGATAGGGAGTCAAACTTAATTACTGCTGTGAGAAGGAGACATGCAAATACTGCATAGGTAAAGATCCGTGGATTTCACGGATCGTTGGACCTCAATGCTTTGCAAAACATAGAATGTTTTAACATTGTTTTATTTTAAGGTTTACTTTATTCTGTTTTTTACAATACGTGCATTAGAATATGTGTGTGTGTGTGTGCGGATGGATGGATCGGGTGTGACGTCACTCTCCCAGAATGCACGGCTTCCAGCGCGGCGCCCAGCAGTTCAGGCCCGAACTCCAAGAAACATCTTTAAAACTTGTTCCAAAATGTCGATATCGAAAAGGAATGGAGGCTGGACGGAGAGCTGGACCGAGGTTCAATCGGTAAGTAGCGTTGTGTCCGTGTCTGTTGACCTGAACTGGAGTTTTACCCTACTCAGTAACATATACAGGAGTTAGCTCCCGTAAGACTAACTCCGATACAACTTAGTGAACCGCTCATCTTTTGTTTTTTAACCAGCATGCTGGTTTAGCGAACTCTCTAACTTCACCCACAGCCATACCGATCCTAGTATGCGGGATCTCTCCACATAAAACTATCGTTATATACACTCGAACATCCGAGCATTAAATCTAGTTTCGCCTCCGCCGCCGAATTTAGTGAACAGAGCCCGGCTAGCAGTGAAATGTAGCCCGGTCTGGTAATGACCCCATCCCACCGCTCTCTAACGCTACCAGCGGAGACTTCATCATTTCAGTCAAGTCCTATCAGCCTAGGTGACGTTTTCCCCACTTCATTCGGTTTCAACGGGACAAGCATTTCCGCAGAGTTTAACACAAGGGGAGAGGGTTAAACCAGAAAAGGTGTGGGGATTAAAGCCTTGTGGCAGCTCCATGCTGAGGACCCACAAGATGGCACTACCAGCTCCCATCACCTTGCTCTTGGTGCACAGTCGTCCTTTAGTCATTGTATCCAGACTTCCACTGGCTGTGCTTCTCCTATAATGACATGGAGAACATCCACTGGTGGCAAATGTCTTCACACTCTACTCCAGTGAAAGTAATGTGACTACAACAGAAGACTGGGCCATTTTAAAGTGAAAGTCCCGTATGCAGATATTTCTTACGTGTAATAATAAAGGTATTTACAACAACTATGAAAAGTAAAAACATCATTCTGAAGCATGGTCCTGTTCAGAGTGTTCCAGTAAAAACTGGATGGCCACTCTTGAGTAGTTTAAAATACATATAAACATATTAAATTTATGAAGTAAGATTTGATCTTGTCAGTCAAATTAATTTCACATCCATAGCCCCAAAACCCAAGTTTGTCACAAAGAAAATTCCAGTTCTAAATTGAGCAAGTGCAGTTGTCAGGTAGGCTGCTTTTTTTAGATAGCTTTCTCCCCAAATGTAGTTAGGTTGTAGGATTAGTCTGATGATATTCAGTATTTGTCTTTTTGACAACAAATGCCATGTGAACCAACAATCTATCGACTACCAAGTATAGTGTGTGTGATGTATCTAATCCCTCTGTGCCATAGAGCTCACTGTTATCCACAAACACACCAGAGAGCCACACTGCATACACCCTGCACTTCATTTTGATTCAATTCCACATTCACTGTCCTGCAGCGTCAAATACTCAATAGAGTGCCAAATGTGGATTAATCTGTTGCTGAAAATAGTTCCCAACAAATGCACTATTTCATTCTGTTTGAATTACGATTACAAACTACAGTGACCAGCTGTAAAGAAAATTACTGAGCCTTTTGTAAAGATGGAATTATATATTGGTGATAGTGCTGGGCGGTATATTGGTTCATCCGGTATACCGGTTTTAATTTCCCGTATGATATAAATTTTCCACGCACCGCCATACATAGCCGAAACAACTGCTGTCACTCTTCAACAGGCAGCAAAATATATTGTTCGCCGCTAAAGGCGCTGCGGTCGGAGCTAGTTGCCTTAACTGCATTGAGAGGGACCCCTAATCATGGTTATAACTTTATAACACAACAATTAATAACTCACAACTAACACTCTTTAACAGGGCAAAACACCACGACACAACAGTTTGTGACAAATAAACAATTTGTAACACTAATAATTGTACATTTATAAAATTTCACCGCCAAACTGCATGCTGGGTACAGCTCGCTAGCTAGCCCGGTAGCACAACAGTCTGTAAACAGCTGGGAGAGGCTCCGTTGCTACAGTAACGCTACATTAAAGAACAGAGCGATGCAGGATGAACAAAGACAGACCGGAGATGCACCGATAGTCTGAGCCCAAGAGAGGAGCTGGGTCTGCTGTTTGGAAGTGTTTTGGTTTTAAAAAATCCGTCATTTTGCGAGTTTGTCGAGCCACTGTTGTTGCCGCTGGTGGTAACACGAGCAACTTACTCCATCACCTCAGCAGAAAACGTGTTGGAATACCAAGAGTGTGATGACGGCCGTCGGATTCGAGGCCGTCAACCGGTAACGTTAACGCGAGTGAAACAGTGAAGCCGAAGGGTCACACATCGCTTGAAGAGGCATTTGCTCGAAGAACTGCATATGACAAGAAAAGCAAGCGGTGGAGCGACATTACGAACAATAACGATCCAGCTATGCAAGGACATGGTCCCGCTACAGACAGTCGAGAGAGACGGGCTCAGAGCAATGATTAAAACACTGGATTCAAGGTACGTCTTAGCGGGGCGACAATACTTCAGCCAAACTGCTATCCCAACATTATAGGAATAAACGAGCACACCCTATAGTAAGCAAAGCCTTTATACATGAAGACATTAAAATGTTTTTATATTCTATGTACTTCTGACAGTAGAGTAAGCCACTATAAACCTATATAAAAACACAGTCGGGGGGGGGGGGGGAATATATTGTGAAACCGCCAGAATCTTAAAAAATACCGTGATACACATTTTTGGTCATACCGCCCAGTACTAATTGGTGAGGTGTTTTTAAAAAGTACATATGTATACTTTTATCAGACGCGTTATTAGGTACGCCATGTTAGTTCCAGTTTGGACCCCCCTTTGCCCCTGGAACATCAAGGGAATGGGAAAATTCCTCAGATTTTGGGCCATATTGACATAATGGCATCAGTAGTTGCACTTGTTGCAGATTTGTCGGCTGCACATCCATGACACGGCTGGACAATATATCTTTTTAGCATAGACGATGTGATGTGTCCATGTGCAAAAGTCACATCACAGGACGTGCAATGTCGGCAAATTAACCCAAACACACCATGCTACAAGTTTTTTGCTGCTTGATACGGATAAGGAAAACTTGCACGGTTCTCGTTTTCC